CAATAGAACTGTAAAAGTGTGATACATTGGGTCTCATCATGTTCAAATACTTTGTTTACATCAGTATTCTTATAACTTCATTTACCAGTACATACTGAATAATTCTACTATCCCCATAGAAATCCCAAATGTGGCATTTTGAATAAAATACAAAGAAATCTGGGGCGACGACCCCCATTTTTTGTTGCCTGTTTCATGCCAATTTAAATGAGAAGAATCTATGTAGCACTTTTCCACAGTACATCTAATTTTTCTCATTTTACTCAAATAATATATATTATTTACATTAACATTAACAACCTATTTACCATATTTTGAGTATCTTCATCATGTTTGTGGCATGTTGATTCTAAATATGGCAATATTCATGTCCCGTAGGTTGAGGACCGAGAACAATACGCCATTGTTAGCGTGGTTTTAGATGTGTCTCTTGCGGCAATCAATAACTGGTTTGGAACCAAGTACTGATATTTTGTGATATATCGATTTACTAAATAATAATGTGGTATCATTCCGTCCAGTTCAATACTTCAAGTGTTATATAAATTTTACCTATATTAAAAGATTTAATACATTATATTGAAATCAAATGCTCTGTAATTTTTAAAATTCATTTGTAGTAATAAAGAAAATTTGATTAATTTTTAGTCCCCGTTCGGACGCAGTCCGAAAACGGGGACTTATGTTTTGACCTCCGTGTGTGCGTGCGTGTGCGTGTGTGCGTCTGTGCGTGCGTCCGGACCTGTATCTTAGAAATGCCTGGACCAATCACAATCAAACTTCACACATACATCATACATGATATCATACATATGCACGTCAATTTGTTTGACGATCCTATTCAAAATGGCCGAATGGTTGTCATTTTTGTGCTAAAAAAATCATCAAATATCAAGCATTTCTGGCATTTATGGAGGGATTTCGTTCAAACTTTGTACATACATTAGACATTACATGTTCCTGATGCACGTCATTTTATTTTTCAGATCAGACTCAAAATGGCTGTCCGGTGGCCATTTTGTTTTAATGAATGGGTTTCCAGACCCATATGTCTGACTTGTTTTGACTGATTATGTTCAAATTTTTAATATTCATTATACATCATGTCACAGGTATACTGATATATTGGTTTGACCATCCTTTTCAAAGTGGCCTAATTGTCGCTATTTTTGTGCTAAAAAACTTGTTTTATTTTTTAGATCAGATTCTGAATGGCTGACTAGTGGCCATTTTGTTTTAATGAATGGGCTTCTAGAGCCATATCTCTGACATGCTTTGACTGACTATGTTCAAATTCTATATAATCATTATACATATATTCATAATGGCTGATTTTGTTTTAATTAATGCTGTTCCAGAGCAATATCTCTCAATACTCATTTGACGATCAGATACAAATGTCAATCATTTAAATGTTAAACAATCATCATATTCCCGACATGTTTATATTCCAGCTATATTACTATAAACAAAACTTTATATCTTAAATTTGATAACTAACGGGGACTGTGCCATGCATGGCTTGTGTGACAAAATTGTCACTATTTTGGATGTTATTTGTTATTGTCTAGTTATTTGTGTTTGTAGGTTATAGTATTGTAAAGTAACTTTATTGAATAAACTCATCATATAATAAACTTAATAGTGCTAAGTCTGTTGCTTAGTAACTAGTGTACAGGTGTACATGAATCAGGTCATAGTTTGATTTGCAGTGTGCTGGTATGCGAGTGTGTATTGAAAGTTAGTGGTATGCACTTACAGGTGGGTGTATGAATGTTTACTAGAGTAGGCTGAATTGATGAATAGAACTGCTTTTGTGATGCAAAGTAGGTCAGTGTGCTTGGTAATTCTGCAGTATGATGTGGTTAGTTGTCCAGGAGTGAGCATCTCCTGCAATTCTACTCATGGTGACTCGTAATTTTACTATCAACTGGCAAGGCGTTCAGGCTTTGAGTTGGTGGAAGTCGGTGGTGACTTCGCTGTATTAGGTCAGCCAAGTATATAGAGTAGAGGTCTGCCAAATTGGTTTTGCAGCTTGGGGATATTCCCGAGACTTTGAGTTTCTAACCTTTGGTGAGGGACAAGACGCCAGCACATAGAAACTGTAAGTTGAGATTTCAGTTTAATCATTTCCTAGTAGTTCATTCAACTGTGCCGGGTACGGTAGCCCGATTAAATACATCCATATTACGTTTCTTTAGTTGTGTTTAAAATGGCAGGTATTATGGAATGTACTTGTCCCTTTTCCAGATGACCTGTGAGTGGTGAGCCGTCGTGACGCATGGAGCATGGAGCGCAGTCTGAGTGGAAGGCTGTGAAGTGGAATTCTGGATTGTGTGGAGTGAAGCAAGTGTCGAGCAAGTGAACGTTTGAACTTACCGGGCGTTAGGACAGTCTGAACTGGTTGTGACGTGTTCATGGTCTAACCGGTTGTATTACCAACTTGTAATGCTAGTTCTTAATTTACTGCTTGTATTTATAACGTGTATGCTTTATGCATTATTGTAATTTTGATGAGCGTGTAGTCTAGTTTGTCTGATAATTGTATGCTGTTTTATGGATTGTGACATGTATTAATATAACTAGTAATATTTCCCTTAGTATCATCCCATTGTGTATAGAACTCACTACTAGCTTAATAAAGCGTATTAATTCTGAACCGCACACTGGCGTTATTTCTGCTTGTTATTTATATTGCATGTGCTGCCTGCTAGAAAAACCTGACAGCTTGTTTTGTTTATTTTTTGATTTCAGTAAAAATAAGCATTAATGTCATAGTAATGTGTATATAGACAGTTTTGGTTTAGACTACAAAACAAAAAAAATTACTAACTTTAGAGTACTATGTTAAGTATTGGAATGCAATTATAAAATCAAAAGAAAGCTTAGAAAAAAACTACTGTGTGCTGAGAGTATTAAGTGTGTCATTTGTCGTAATAGTGCATTTTGTGCAACACAATTTCAATGAAATGGCGACTACTCAACCCTTATTTTTTACCTCGCATTTCACAGGACTTTCGTCTTTGTGGGGTCGCATTACATTGCCCATGCAATTGTGTCAAAGGCAATATTTTAGTAAGATTTAGTCATATTTATGTGATTATATTTGAGATGCACATACAATGTAATACACAATATTTAGAAATTTGTATTACCGATACTCAGACAATTTTACATATGTGGTTTGCAGTTTAATTCAGAGATTTTTTTAAACAAGAGAACAGGGGCGCAGCAGCGCCTTCATGTCATGGCCTTGCGTCCCCTTACCCTGTGGAGCAGATCCTCTGGCAACCATAAAATTCTGATTGACCAGGGATCACATGTGGCCAGTCTTTAACTGTGACCTGTGAAGCCATAGAATGCTCCATTTTAACTTAGAAATATCAAACTCCATACCCTGGTAGGGAGAACCCTACACATGTACATTTGTATCTCTCCCATTGCTGTGCTCTCCCTTTCAGTAGTTTTCTAGATAAAGCCCTGTAATTTTTCCAAAGAACCTACTACAATTTAAAAATGAAGTAACAAAAATAATATACATGGTTTTCAACATTAAACTGTATTACCCCAGAGCATCTATGTTTCAATGTAATTAATCTCCATGGTTTTCAACCCAAAACCATTGTCCCCAGTCTACCAGGGTAGTACGTACGTGAGATATAACTAATTATGCAAATTAGAAAATTAATATACACATTTCACTGTAAAACTAATTAGGCCTTCTCAGTGTCACAGAGCATCTAAGTTTCATTTTAATGGTAAATGTGATGATTTTACAAGTTTTTTTTATTATGCTCAACAAAGTCGAAATAAAATGATTTATCACGAGTGATTGTATTTTGACAAATTTAAAATAATCCAATAACTTTGTCTGCACGTTCTGGGAAATATAAATCATAAATGGCAATGTTCTGGATACTTGACCATCACATGACAAATTTGAGACTTAACAAGGAATACAAAATTGTGGTTCAATGGGACACTAGCAGCTTGGAATCAGAATTTGTTTCTTGATTTAACTGTTAAAGTACTCATCTGTATTGCCACTTTAGCCGTTAAAAAAGCAATACCATCAAAAACAGTTGAAATCATTGAAAATTTATTTAAAACAGCAACAGATTTAAATATAATTTAAGACTGATAAGCAATACTGACAATATAAATACAATCTTTAGAGACAAAGGATGGTATTTGAGCTAACAGTCACAATGTAGCTAGTTCTCTAAAGTTTCTTTACAATGACACTATAAAAGGCAAAGTAAGATCCTAATTCTTGCCTTGAGTTAAATTTACAAAAATGTCACTATTATATTAAGTTACCTTGTGTGAAGAAAGCTTGTGACAGTATAAACACAGCTGTACAGTACAAGTACATTGCTGTAATTGGGATACTGAAGAACTAAATGTTGCATGTACTATTAATGAAAAATCTAAAATGTTTTAAAAATAAATTCAAATATATGAAGTTTGAGATTCTAATTTGTTCACTAAAAAATAATACTAAATTAACACTGTTTGGAAGACATGTCTTCTATAAGCCGGAAATCACTTCAATTTCAAAACAAAGTTTGTATAAATCACTAGTGTACTAACAACATTACAATTTTGTTCTTGCAATCACTCTTTTGTAGTGTTGATTTACAATTCAAAACTGCTCTATTACATGTATATATAGAACGGACTCATGTGATTCAGCAAAAATGCCAATCATGGAGTGTACTTTCATTCAATTTATTTTACAAATGTTGTACCATGTATTATGAGACTGACATTGAACACAATTTGATGCAATGATTAGAGTCTGTAATTTAAATCATCACATTAAAAGATTCCATGGTTTTGAGACCCCAAAATTAACATCACTAATAAATTTACAAATATACTGGCCAATTGGCATTAAAAACACTCATGACCTGGATATATAATACACTTACAAACTACTTTCCTTTTCATGTTACATTAATAATAATGGCAGTACAGAATAAGTGAAAAAGTCTACATGTATCACTGAAAGACAAAGATAGCATTGTTATGTGCATATACACCAACTCTAGATCTTTAATTGGGATAGGATGCAGGTACTTGTGATGTAACAGGACAAGTGATTCAAATCAATAGTTTGTATTTATCCAGGAGTTATATCATGCTAGATCAACCAAGTGTATTTATTGAGAAACCTCCCGTTTACTGTCATGAAATAATATTTACAAAACAGCAAAAGTAGAAGTTATTTAAAATGCGGCAACTGTTACAAGAATATTAAACCAAAAAAAAGATTTTGCTTCTTGTCCAAGAGGGAATTGGAAAAAAAACACTGTTTTTATTTATTTTTTTAATACCACAGCATGATATATTTTCAATATTTAACATTTATTAAATGTTTTTGAACACGTACATTAACAGTTGATTTGGATTAACCATTGTACAGCACAGGGCAGACTTCATGCAAAATTACGAAAACTGATAAATTTTTTGACTTATTTAAAATTTTAGTTGAAAATTATTATATATAACTTTGCCCATATCTACATCTGTACCTCATAATGCTATCTGCAGGGTCACAAGAATGTGGCAAAACCACTATAGGGGAACAAGTCTATTGTATATTGGTATATTCATCACTGTGGCACTATACAAAACTCAGAAGCCACATTTAGAAAATCCATAACAGTTTCTGTAAAAAACAATGATAAAACATCAATGAACCCGATATTGTATGGAAAATACAGTAAAATTATTTTTAAAAGATTGTGCAGAATTGGACTTTAATTTTTCATCACGTTTCAAACCACATTTCAATCAAATAACAATTTCATAATCATACCTGAGAAATCAATAAAAACACAAAATTTAATAAATTATTCAAATAACAGTAACAATAATCGTATCAGTCCAAATTTCATTTTACATAAACTCTTTTATTCACCTGTAAAATACGGAAAATATCCACTTTTTCAGCCTCATGTTTTTCTGGCTCAGAAGATGCATGGCAAAATTCTTTTTAGCCACTAAAATTGACTGGATAATTTGCATCAAGTCCCATCTTCTTATAGGTGTAATCTCTATTTTGAAAACAACTTTTTTAGTTTGATTAACTGTTTTATTTGATTACAACACCAAGAAAGCAAATATTTAATTTGTCAGTGAAATTTTGTCTAAAACCAATCAGTTTTGAATAGAGGACTTGTACATTTTAAAGAAAGTCAACCTTTCTAATAATGCATTTACCAGTATGCTTGATTCAACTTCAACTGTGATAATGACATTTACTAAAAAAGGACAACTAAGACAGGACTGGTGGTTCTTGTTGTTTATAGGAGTTTAATTGTCAAGTGAGACATGTCCATGATCAATAGCGACAATGGATTATGAAAACGTTTTTTACACCCACCACTGTCACATGCATCAGAAAGTTAACACTGTGGTCACCACACTACATACCCAATAGAAAAGGTGCCAAGATATGTACATTAAATAGAAATCCAACACCTGTATATTACAATAATATAAAATTATGAAAATACTGCTTTTATTTTACCAAAAGAATTTGACAAATGACTGACATAAGCACAGGCAGGACCCATGTGACCACAGAGAATATAATTACGACTATCAGAAAATCATTGATTAATTTAAAGTCATTGAATTTTGAAAGTTAAAGCATGAGAATTGTATGCTTTGTTTTTGTCTCTTAAATTCACTGAATATCAAGTCTAGGTAAATTAATACATTCAATTGTTTACTGTATAATAAACACACGATGCAAAATGTCCGTGAGATCTTGATAACATGCAACTTCTTTTTATCTCTCAAATAGTGTTTCATTTTCTCTGTGGATAGCATTCACTGTTCAAATCATCTATGTAATCATGGTATTTGGCAAATGAGGATGCAATGACGGGAGAGAACAGAACATGATGGAAACAAGTCATGTGACTCGTAAGCCCTTTTTTGCCTATGGTCCATTCAGGATATTCTATGTTAATTTTACGACTTCACGAATTACTCCGCCATCATAGATTTGTTCAAGTTCCTGAATTTGAGCTTAAAGTGGAAAGTGCAGAGGATTGACCATCATTTTTCAGTTATCAGCAAACTGAAAGTCAATTCATGAATTGAAATCTACGTTCACTTTTACGTACAAGTTGTTTTCTGTCTAGCCATATCTACATGTACAATGTATTACATAGCACAGAAATTACAAAGCACCATACGGTACCTGTTTCTCTTGCAAGACAATATATCACCGCATTAATCGCAAAATTAAAAAAAAAAAAAACATTCTTTAAAAACAATCAGAACAGCTAAGTAGAATACACATAACGGTGAATGTCGGATATCAGAGGTTATCTGGGGTCATCAGTACATTTTTAATTATGTAATCAATTACAGTATTATTCTGTAGCATATGGACGTGTTCATTTCCCGGAAATCCCTTCTCCAGCACCGGATGCTTTTGTTGGTCTTTCCACCTAAAAAAAAAATGTTCAAAATAGTATCATATATATTTGTATTAAACATTTCAGCTGAAGACAGTCATTAATAAACATTACCCTACAACTTATGTTTTGTATATCCAGTCAACAATCACATGCATTTACACCATACAAAGTTTATGCCAGTCAAGCTGTTTATGCTGTGGTATAGCAATTCAATATCTTATAGCCATTTTGTTGTATATCATATAACAGTATATATGAGGAAATAGTTTCCATTTTGGTTGAACAAAGGGTAATAAGAATTATATTCCGACCATTACTGGTATGTTTCGAGGTTTAATATATTGACCAACCAATATTCCATAAATTTTGATGAGTTGATGTTCCAGTGACGTGTAAAAATAGACAACAGCAGAGATGAATAGAGATGTCAAATTGAACATTGAAACTACATTTAAAACTGCATTTTTATCACTTTATTTGTTGAAAATACACAACACACTGAATGGCAAAAATTACTCTACTTCTATGATGGCTGAACTGGTGATTCATTGAATTTTCTTTTGCCATTCAGTGCAAAACACTATGCATTATGGGTGCTTTGAACTGTAGAACTGAACAAAAGCACTGTATACAAGATACTGAGAATTATTTCCATTTTTTACATGTGTCAATTGTACAGTGGTGAAACCTGGTATTTTGATGTAGTCATGTGATAGGGTCATGTGATAGACATATTTACACTTACAACAAGCATGCTTTCAGACTCTTCATGTTAACAGTGCCATCACCGTCCCCAGTCAAGATAATTGGCTGATCATCAGGGAATATGTGACTATCATCATAGATAAATTTCTCTCCTGTTGGTACTTCAGAGCCATGCAAACAGAAAACGGGAACTCCTGCAAGTAAATGTACTATTTTTGTAACCAGTTTTCTCCCCAGGATGCAAACAGTGAGGTGATGCCATTGCCATGCTTATCTGACACAGCCACACTCAAAATCATTAGGTAATCAATATGCATGAATTTAAACCAAAACATAATCAAATCTGCGCATTGGTCCAGAGCATCTATGCATCAAGTTTCATTTAAAACCAACATATGGTTCTTGAGATGTCAGAGTAACAGACAGACACGCACATACTACCTGCAAAAACACAATGTGTGAAATGTCAAAAATAATTCGAAACAAGCAACCTTAAAGTGGAAATAGCTCTGCTGTCTTACAAGAACATTGTGGTAGCCAAATGGAGCAACCTATACTCATAAGACTTTTTGAAAACTGCCAGCTCAATTTGATACCAAGTATCAAAGCAATTTAGCTGGTAGTTTTCAAGAAGAAGTTGAACATTTTTGACAGATAAGGACGGACAATCACCTCTATGAACAGAAAATTTAAAAACAAAAATCTTTTAAAGAAATGCTGAATAACACTTTGCTGTAAGTGCTAATGTTTGAAACATTGATGAAATTCTTGAAAATCCTACGTGGAAACAAGAAAACTTGATGTCAAAATGTTCAACTTGCTTTCCATCATGGCTGGTAATCTTTTGGTCTACCTAATCACAGACTGCTGTTGGGGGTGCTCCAACCATAACGCTTCCTCGTAACAACTGTACTGTATTCTGTACCCAGAATTCGTATTGACCGAGGTAACACATAAGACTGCCATGACTGTTTACAGTAATTGCAACGTTCAGTTTTCACTACAACCAAAGATATTTTATAGATATTATAGAATCCTCCATTATATATTTTGCCACTATTTTTGCACAACAAATAGCAAATGAGTACTTATAATAATTTATTTATTTAATTTCTTGTTGACTGATTTAAACCATGACTTGCATTTTCATTCCAAATTATAAATCTGAGTAAATACAGTGCATAAGCAGTTTGTGAAAAGTAAAACAAAACAAAAAATTACGAATAGCTTATGCAAATTATGTTAATTATCCACCATTTTTTAACAAAATCCTCAGCAGAACATTGAGGCTAAAAACAATGTTTTTGGTTTCTTGTTATTCTTGTTACAAATTGTTGAAATTTTACTAAAAATGAAATTATTTTTTAATGTTGAAACGTCTGAAACTTAAATATGGAAGGCAGTTCCTAATTAAGGCCTACTCATTATACAAAATTGTATTTAGGTAACATGTCAGTCCAGTTTGTTTTATAGATAACAGAATTATCACAATTTATTGTAAAATGTATAGGTGCTAGAGTTGCCATCCATACCAATTTTACTTCATACTTCATGTATTTAGATGAATACAATACATATTTATAGTGAGTACAATACTGACCTGGTGCAGTGAGAGAACCAATCAAATCCTTTGTGTCTAACCACATATCATATGCGTATGGTATTCCCAAGTCTTTGAATAACTGTTTATGATCACCCAGAGTGTAGTTCCTAGTCGGCGTCTCTACGACAACTTGTTTGGAATCCCAGAACTTATCATTTGGATACAGCCATGCTGAACTTGGGTACGTTCTTTGTGCTGGTCTCAATTCCAAGGCATTTACAACAAAGGTTCCAAGATTGTCCCCTATTGAAAACAAACATCACATTTTACACACTGCTATATAGACAGCTTTAAAAATTAAAACATCAAACATTATAATTAGCTGTAACCCATCACATAGAGACAGCAAATACCAAACCAAACATACCTGATGTAAATACCCTGACAATTTTAACAGCACCTGTCCATGGACCACCAAGAGATGTCAGGGATTTGATGTATTTATCTTTCCATTCCTGTGACTTGTGGTTCAATAAATACAATGCATAGGGTCCTCCCATGCTGTGTGTCACTAGCACCACTCTCTTATTGTCATTCTTCTTGTAAGTTTCTTCAATCAGATTGGTGAGATTTTTAAAGAACACTTCGCCTTCATCTGAAAATATTAAAAGAGTAAAATAATACAACACTGCACATGTAATGATCTATTGAACTAAAAAAAAATAATTTATATAGTCCACTACAAATCATAGAAATGATTATCCAAGTGGGAACTGCACTTATTAATAAGTAACAGGTAGCATTGAAAAAGGTAACATTTTTTGAGCTTACATTCTTGGTCTTGCTATGGAGATGGCGTGCAATCAAGATCTGTATGAAGGGCTACTTATAATCAAAGAAAGCTTAGAAAGAACTCCCATGTGCTGAGAGTATTGGAGACACATTAAATATAATTCGAAATTACTTAGCTGAAAACTAATTATGCAAATCAGAAAATTAATATGACCAGATTTGAGTGTAAAACTAATGAGGTCTGCGCAATGTAACAGAAAATCTATGTCTCCAAGTTTAATTGAAATGTGATTAGAACCAAAAAATTATGAATTATTATGCTTATTAGGGAATT